GCTTCAACATCTGGCATTAATTCACGCACACTATCATGTTTAGCTGCAAGCATTTTCAATGCCGTTTCCATTCGCTGTAACTTACAAAGCATGTAATAGGTGGAGTTCTACCTCGTTTCTATGTCTATTTCTGGCCGAAGGTACTCAAGTTTCTCTATAACACATAATTCACGTAATTCATCACATAATAAGACTGAATTTTTAATTTTTGACATTAGTTGTCACACTTCTACTATTTCTTGATCAACTATTTCCATTTCTTGCTTAACTGCAAGGTTAAGTATATGTGCTGAACAACGATAATGGCTGAAGGTAAGATTATTTAATTGCCGATCTGCATGTGATCGATAGAATTTACATAGTAAAATGCGGCGTTATGTTAATTAATAAAAAAAATGCCGTTTGAAATCTCTGTTTCCCCAAGGAACAACAACGTAAAATACATACATAACACCAAAAAACTTGTTGTGACGGGTGCTATTATATCAGAACTTCATTATTATGGTCATATTTATATGACTTGTTTATTATTTTTTAAGGAAAAAATTCAAGATAACTATTCTTATTTTGAAATTGCGTTAAACTTAATAAAAGCCCTTTTATTATTTATATATTTCATTATATTCATATTTTTTACAAACTGGACGTATTTGTGAAAGAAAAAGAGATATAGAAGTGCGTAATGTTATTAAAAATGTAATAGTTGACAGAAATAATAAACAAAAAAAGTTTTATAAGCGTCAGAAGAAAGTTAAAGAGGTAGAAATCAGTTATACCATTTATACCATAGAAGTAAAATACTATGAAATCTCCGTTTTCTACATATAAAACTTTATAAATTGCAAAGAAAAAAAACTTTTTATAAAAAAATTTTTTTTTCTAAGATCTTAAATGTATATTGCAGGTGTTAAATTACGCAATTGTATAACAATATGGTTGCATTTTATTTGATATAAAAGAATGATCGACATGGCTTATATATAAATGTTGCGTCACATTTTATTATATAAATTCTATCGATCACATGCGGATCAGCAATTAATTCTTTTTCAAATTCTTCTGATAATTTTCGTCCACATACTAACATCGCAGATTCATTATTTGTAGTAAGTGCTAACGCTTTACCTGCTAAGTTAAATTCATTAAGAACATTAGTGATTGCTGCTGCCATATTGATTCCTATATGACGAACTTTAAAGGGAATAATATCAAGTAAAAAACGCTGAAAAACCCAATTTTGGTCAATATAGTGAATTGTTAGGCCAAGGTATGCTTCGCTACTTATAGTTGATGTTCACATATCAGCAGTGAAGGAAACTTTGCTAGATATTTTTTGTAAATCATAGCCAATATTAGAATGACGTTCATTAAATTCATCAATAATCATTTCTTTTATTTGATGTCGATCAGGAATTTTGTAACGAGGATCGAAAATATGCATCATTTCAATAAATTNATCGCAGATTCATTATCTGTAGTAAGTGCTAACGCTTTACCTGCTAAGTTGAATTCATTAAGAACATTAGTGATTGCTGCTGCCATATTGATTCCTGTATGACGAACTTTAAAGGAAATAATATCAAGTAAAAAACGCTGAAAACCTCAATTTTGGTCAATATAGTGACTAATTGTTAGGCCAAGGTATGCTTCGCTACTTATAGTTGATGTCCATATATCGGCAGTGAAGGAAACTTTGCTGGATATTTTTTGTAAATCATAGCCAATATTAGAACGACGTTCATTAAATTCATCAATAATCATTTCTTTTATTTGATGTCGATCAGGAATTTTGTAACGAGGATCGAAAATATGCATCATTTCAATAAATTTTTCATTTTCCACAACACTAAAAGGTTGTTGGTTATCAATAATCCAAATAACAACTGCTTTATCTCGCTCCAATTTTTCTTTTGCAGGCCAAGGGTCTGTACATTTGAAATTTAATGTTGTTTGCTTTCTGACCTTTTGAATTATTATGTTGTGCTTATTTAAAAGATGCCGTTCAATAGTAGTATTACTTGACTTAATAGAAAATACATAATTGCACCTTTTGCATACAGGTACTCCCAGATGAGCTGGGCTTTTGCAATCTACATAATTCCATAGAGGTGAAGTTTTTCGAGAACTTCCTTCAGTATGTAATATGTTATCCAAAATGTCATCACTCTCCAAGTCAACAAAATCGAACGCGTCATCTAAACTCATTGTGTAAGTTTGTACAACAAAAATTAAAAATACCATGTAATATATATACCAAATGTAAGAACCCTTTTTATTGGTTAGGACTCATTAAGACTAACTCCTTATTAGTCCAAAAAATCGGACTTAAAGATCTGCAGACTCAGTCTTAGGACTGAGTCTTTAGGTCCAAAATAAGGACTTTACCAATCCTAAATTTAGTTGGTAATTCATATGTTAGGATTTATACTATTATTAAGGAACTTCAAAAAGAGCAACAAAAAGTAGAATTACAAATTGAAAATATTCTTCGTGGTGCACAACGTCCAAAGCAAAAAAATGCTATAATTGATAGAGAAAATAGAATTACAACAATTTTTAATGATAGAGTAAATCGCACAGTAATGGATTATTTACGTGGAATTGCTCATAACATTTCTTTATAATTTTTTGTAATTACTTATTTAGCGAATTTATGCATAGAACATTCAAAAAAATGCATTAATTTTTAGTTTTTTAATTTAGTAAAAAATAAAAAAAATTATTATGATAGTTTATTACAAAGAATTGATAATAATAGCTTAAGCAATATAGTTATAAATTAATAACATCAATTATACTGTATAAACAAATGTAGAAATAAAATAAATGAAATATAGTTTATAATAAATAATTATTGTGATATATAATTAATTGTGATAAATCTTAAATTTTGTTCTTAAAATGTTAGAATAATTAACTTGTCGGAATAAAACATGTCAGGATTTTAGGTTGTCGGAATTTTAGATTGTTGGGATTTTAGATTGTCGAGATTTTGGATTGTCGAGATTTTGTTGTCGGTCTTGTGTCAGTCATGTAATTGATTGTTGAGAATTTGATCGGATACCATTTATTTGATATAATAATAGTTATTTATTATTATGTAATATTAAAAATTAATATTATTTATTTATTTATTTATTTATTTTTTTTTGAAATTTACAGTTTATTAAAAATAACACTTGGATCTATACAATATAGGTGTAACTACTACACCACAAAAAATACAGAAAATAGGTCAACCATCCCCCGAAGTGCAATGTGAGGATGCATTAATAAACCTGGTGCAAATGTACCTTCAAACCAGAGAAAAATGCAGGAAAAGAAAAAACAAAAAAAAGAGCCCCACATTTAAAATGAAAACAAAAAAAAAACAAAAATGTAAAAATAAGGAAACAGTCAGTAACAAAGCCACCCTACTACATCTACACTCCTAAAACTAAGACTATCTAACCATTCTTTCGAACTTATATTATGACGCTCCCAGTTTTCTAAGCATCGACCTTATTTCTGCTAAAATAGTAAGCTTGTCAATAACGCCCAAGGCCTTATCGATCTTCTTGATTTCTTTGACCACCTTTGTCTTCTTACTCGACTGTATGTTA